TGATATACATAATGATCACATTCATCATAAGAAATGTGTACCTGTACATAATATATCTTGATTCTTCTTTTTCCATATTTTCCTCCCCTCCCTTCAACCCTCTTCCACTCCTTATGTACAAAAGCTTAGTTTTTATTTTTCTCTTGTTTCTTTTCCCTTCCTTCACCCCCTGACTCCCTTTCTCATTTGAACATTTTCTTCCTACTTCCCAAAATCTGTCATCCATAGGATAACAAGAACAGCAAAGGTCAGCATAGAATGGAGGATCCCAAAGAGATAATAATAACAATAGATATTTTTAGGGTGTCAAGTACCATGCTAAAGCAATTTAGCTCTATTAATTCCACAACTCCCTAAAATAGGTACTGTTTATTCAAGTGGGAAAACTGAAACTCAGAGATTAGAGTGAGTAAATGTTGCCTGTTGCACTGCTGGTGAGTGTCATTGTGGAATTCAAGCCCATGTCAATTTTCAAGTGGTGGTGAACCTGTGGCAAATGTGCCACATTGGGCTGTTTATTGTCATTGAAAGCTCTGAAAAGTTCACCATCACTGGCCTAGACTGTGCATAGGGATTAGGAATAGGAGACAAGCTACAGAGACCTTAACTCCTGGGGTGGGGAAGAGGCTAGCTTCTTGATCAGAGTGACTGGTAGGTACTTTCTCCATGTGCTTTTTTGTTTTTTATACATGTCATTCAACTTTTATGGAATGCCCTATTGCTTTCCTTCTGCCTCTCCAAATTCTTTACCCTTCTACATCCTGGCTCTTAAGGCTCAGTGTTGCTAGATAAATTTGCTATGTCTTCATATGCTGACTTTGCCTCCTTATTATTCTCACCTCTGGGACAAAGTACTTGACACATTCAGCTAAAAGGAAGAGAGGTTTCTTATGGCTCACAGTTTCATAGATTTCATTTCATGATCTGCTGACTCCAAAGTAGGGAAATCAGGGGGAAGGGCATATAGAGCAAAGTTGCTCACTTCATGGCACCCAGGCAACAGAGCACAGGGGATCATTCTGAAGGAGAGATACGTACCAAAGGCATACCCCCAGCTGAGCCCCACCTCCTAACAGTACATTCAGCTATGAATATTATTGCATTAATCCAGTGATTGTTATTGCTCTCTTATGAATGAGTCATTTATCTGGGAATCTCTTCATCCAGTCAAGCTGACAAGTCAGATTAAATGTCACAAGTCCACCCTTTGTCAATTTATGTCTCTTTAACTGTACTTAATCTCCAAATAAACAGAATAATAAGTTAATGATTAAGCCTAGCATGATGCAACCATGCTCTGTACAATCACAAATGCAAAGATCCCTTCCTCAAAGTCTCAAAAGTTCCAGCATTTCTCTATAAAATTCACATTCAAAGTCTCTCCTGAGATTTAAGACAAACCCTTAACTGTGAACCTCTATAAAAAATCACAAGCAAGTTACATAATCCCAAGGTACAATGGCATAGGGTAAACATTACCATTTCAAAAGGGAAGAAAGGGAGATTTAAAAAAAATAGGACCAATGCAAGAACAAAACCTAGCAAGCAAATAGTAGTTTTTATAGCTCCATGTTCAGTATATCCAGTGGTAATATGTGATTTCCAAAATCCTTGAGTCGGCCTGCCCTTATGGTTTTTTTGGTTGTAGCCCCCATGGCCTCTCTCAGGCTGGCTCCATTTGATGCCTGCAGCTTTCCTCAAAAAATATTCCATGTTCTTCGCATGTTCTGTTTCTGCGGGTCTCCATAGTACATTAAACTTAATTTTCACAGCTTTATACATGCATATCTCAGGAACAAATTGCACATACCTTCCTTTGAAATATGAGTGGGTATCTCCATGACTTCATAACTCTTGCATTTTGCATGCCTACACATCCAACATCACATGGATGACTCTGAGGTCAGCTACCATTACTAGCAGTAACCAGGTCTTCTTGGACCATTGATACAATGGCCTTTGAGAACCTGGATGGCTGAGCATGGTAAAATGAATCCAAGGAACCAAGTCCCTAGATTGCCCTTCTCAAGCAGAGAGCCTAGAGGCTTTCTTCTCAAATGAAGGTTACACTTTTATACCCTTGAGCCTATGATGGGTGCAGTCTTATTATCTCTTGAGATGCCCTTAAGGTATCTTTTTTTCTTGTTCCTGTTTAAAGTAGTTTATTCCTCCCCTGTTGCACATGAAATAATACTAAGAATCAACCAATGGAACCACATCAAATAAAAAAGCTGTACAAGAAAAGAAACTGCCAACAGAACAAAAAGACAACTTATAGAATGGGAAAAATATTTTGTCAGCTATTCTTTAGACAAAGGACTAATATCTAGAATATATAAAGAACTGAAAAATTTAGCCCTCCCCAAATTTAAAGACCCTATCTAAAATGGGCCACTGAAATAAACACACACTTCTCAAATTAAAAAGTATGAACTGCCCATAAATATATGAAAAATGTTCTCCATCACTGGTGTCTTAGTCATTTTTCTCTTGCTGAAACAAAATACCTGACACTCAAAATTAAAGGAGGGAAATTTTATTTGGCTCACTGTTTGTAGAAATTTCAGTCTATAGTTGGCTGGCACAGAGAACAAACATTGCAGAAGAAAAAAAGTTCATATTGGGCAGAAGGCAGCAAAGCAGTGAAGAAGCAAGTGATGAGCAACAACCATTTTTCTGTCCTTATATTTTATCTAGGTCACCTGCCTTTAGGGTGGGTAGCACTCACACCTAAGTAAGGCCTTCGTATTATCCACTCCCAGAACTGTGTCAAAATAACCAGTAGAATAATTTGATAATTACATGGCATTGATCCCAGGATCACACACTTAATCCCAGTATAGCACACTCTAGGTCCAGCCACCTCAGAAAAGCCCCACTTATAACAGTTTGAGGCTTGTGGGGAACATCTAGGTACAAGCCATAACAGCTAGTCATTCAAGAAAATCAAAACAATACTGATATTCCATCTGCCTCCAGCAAGAATAGCTATAAACAGGAAATCAACAACAAATGTTGGCAAGGCTGCTGGGGTAAAAAGAACCCTCATTCCTTGTTTGTGGGAATGTGAAGTGGTACAGCCACTATGGAAATTAGTATGAAGATTCCTCAAAAAACTAAAACTAGAAATTTCATTTGACCCAGCTATTCCCCTTCTAAATGTCTTCCAGAAAGAGTTAAAGTTAAGCTATTACAGTGATACATGCATATCCATGTTTATAGCAGAAAAATTTATAATAGCTAAATTATGGAAACAGCCCATAGGGCAATCAACAGTTGAGGGTTAAAGAAAATGTGGTATTTATGTATACTGAGGTACTACTTTGTCTTAAATAAAGATAAACTTGAGCCATTTATAGGTAAGTGGATGGACCTCAACACCATAATATTAAGTGAAATAAATAAGACACACAAGATTAAATATCACATGGTTTCTCTTATATGAGAAACCCAAAGTACAAATAAAGAGCAAAATAAGATAGATAATAAGAAATAGGGAGACCTTTTTCAAATGGGAAGGGGAACAAGAGATGGAGAGATGGGATACAGAAAAAAGAGAAAAGTGATTTTGAAAAAGAGTTGAAAAAATAGAAATAGAACTGAACAAATAAGGAGGGGAAGAAGAGTTGAAGGAAGCAGAGACAGATGAGAGAGGAAGGGTACAATAAGAGAGGATTAAACTGTTATGTGTATGTACAAACTCCCCATAATAAATGCAATCATCATGTACTGCAAACATGTAATAACAAAAGAAAGGTTAAAAAAAACATGACTGTCACAATATATAAGTATAAAATGTACTTGTGATCCATAAATAAACTTCTTGTTTCATTAAAAAATAATAGTGTTTGTTTTCTTTTTAATGTCATTAACTTCTTCAGCAACCACATTTCTCCTTTGGTCACAACACAACTTTGCACACATTCTTTTTGGGTCAAATTAAGTTTTTCAAATATTTCTGCTCTGCTTTTTGCTCCTTGTTCCCACTATAAATCTGACTAAAAGCAGCCAACAGTACTCAAGCTAAAACATGAATGCAGGGCTGCCTTGAAAATTCCTTTGCAAGATCAGTTAGGCTATTGTCCTTAAACATAGTTTTAGGGCATGAACAAAATGTAGACAAACTCTTTGCCAGAATGAAACATGTATGGCCTGCAGTCCAATTCTCAATAAAGTTCTAGTTCCCAACTGAAGCTTCCTGAGCCTGGTCTTTACTGTCTGCATTCCTGTCAACATTCTGTTCTTCTGAGCTCTGACCATAATCTCCCTTTATACTCCCTATAGAGCATTCTTGATCTTTTCTAGCCCATATCTCCAAACTTTTCCAAACTCTTCCCATAAACTAGGTCCACAGGTTTTTTAACTTCATGGTCAGCTATAGTCCCAACAGCTGCCCTATTTCTGCGGTACCACTTTTCTTATTAGTCAGCTTTCACATCACTAGGACAAACTTCATGACACCTGTAATTTAAATGGAGAGAGATTTGTTTTTGGCTCATTGTTTCAATATTTTCAGTCTATGGTCAGCTGGCACTAAGACAATAATATCATGCAGAAGGAAATGGTGAGCAAAGATGCTCACTTTATTGTAGCTGGGAAGCATAACACAAGGTAGTCAGTGAGAGAAATACCTTCTCACACTCACTGACGCACCTCCAACTAGGCCCAACCGCCTTGCAGCACGTGTGTCTGGGAACATCATTGGATTAATCTACTGATGTTGATAGAGCTCCCATGATTCATTCACTTCCTCAAGGGTTTCAATCCAATCAAGTTGACAAGATTAACTGATATAACTCCTAAGTACATACTATACTGTATTGCTGACTAGTTATTTCCAGTCTAATCTTTTCTTCTCATATGTACTTTGGGCTTTTCCTTTCCTTTGACATTTTAGCTTCTCTTACCGTAGTACCTGCACCTACTTACAGTAACTAAGTTTCAGTTACAAGGAGGTATTGGAGCAAATCTTGTTAATAATTTTCTTTCTCTTCTGACAGCGTTTGTGAACATAGCAAAGAGAATCTTATGACCCCATCCAACATGGGAGTGATATTTGGGCCCACCTTGATGCGTGCTCAAGAGGATACTGTGGCTGCTATGATGAACATCAAGTTTCAGAACATCGTGGTAGAAATCCTAATTGAGCACTTTGGCAAGGTATGCATTCCCTGTCCTTACCATAACTCTAAGCAAGGGACATTTGCCCCCAACTACCTTTTCAGATTTTGTCATCTTCCTTGGCTCAAATTCACAATTAAAGGAAACCTCATTATGATACAGTGACATTTAGTGGTAATACTGGCACTGGAAATTTCATATATTCAGCTATTCTTGCTTAAACATGTAACTATTTTATTATCAGGTACCATGTGAAAAGTCATTGTCTGCCTTTAAGGATTTAACAATGTAGTATGGAGGCAAATATGAAAACAGAAGAAAATCTTGGGTACAAAATTTTTTTATGTACAATATAACTGTAGGAGAGAAGAAGCTTATCTTCGTACCTGTCACAAGGTTCATGATTGTGAACCCTATAATGAGACAAATTAATAAGATAAAACCACACAAATTCATTTAATACGTTTTATGTGACATGGGAGCCTCACAAAATTATGACCCAAAGAAACAGGTAAACTAGTACTTTATGATTAGTGATAAAATGGTATTTTCCAATTATATTAAACTGGAAGGAATTCAACAAGACCTGTTTGCTCAGATTCTTTGCTACGTTTTCAGTGTATTTGAGGATAAGGATGTTTATTTCCTGCATGTATAGGGAGGGTGCCTCTGGAATAGTTTTGTGACCTGCTTTAGAGGAACGTCAAGGAATTCTTTTATGGCCTGTTTGAGGGAAGAAGGGCAAGAGAAGGCCTAAGAGACCTGCTTGTTTTTACTGTTTCCTCAAACACCAAGGTGCCCTATTTTAGGATAGTAACTCTTAAACTCCATCAAAACCATTTATGAATACCACTCCCCATCAAATTCAGGACCTTACACTTGCCAGGCAAGTGTGGAACCACTGAGCTGCATCCCTGGCCCTACCATATATAAACCAGTATGTACACTTATTTAAACCACCTCTTATTTCAAGTAATTAAAGGGGGTATACCACATGTTATCTAAAAGCACAGTAAATGTTTAAATTTTAAAAATACACATTGCCATTAATCCACTTCAAAATGCTCCCCCCCATTTTGAACACAGTCAAACCATCATTCTTGTCACTTTCTGGAGCAGTTCTGGCAGTTTTCTTTCATGAGTGCCCTTGGTTGTGCTGTCTTGGCTTCCTTAAGATGTCCTGAATCAATTCAAAATATTACCTTTTCAAGGTCATTCTAATTTGGGGGAAGAGCCAGAAATTTCACAGAACCAGATCTAGTGAATACAGTGGATGAGCACACACACTGTAATGGTTTTATAAGCTTTCTTCTCTGTTAAATAGCACACGACAGCAGCATTCACTATATTTTGGATCACATCTCATGAAGACACTCACAAAAGAAGACTTGTGTAACTATTTCAGAAGTTTTCAAGAATGATGTGTGTTCAGAGGGGAAATATTTTGAGGGGATTAATTTAAATGTATCTTTTACTGTAATAAATTTCTTTACATAAATATTTTTCATGTATTTCAATCACCCCTTAATTTTATATAGTACATAAAATACAAGGTTTTATACATTATAGTCAGGTAAAACAATGAAAAAGGTGAAACAAAGAAAGAGATAGAAAATATACCCAAGAATGAGGTCAGAACAAGAAATATTAACATGTCTTGTATACTTACCACAGATGGCCCTATATAGTTGGCTATAAGCTTTGTAGCAGCCAATGCCATCCTTGGAAAGCATCATTTAATACAAATTTTCCTTTGGGCAGAGAGGCTAGTGATATAATCTAGGTCTGTCCACATGTCAAGGCCAAGCTCTGCCATTTAGCTGCATTAGATAAGATACAGGCTGGAGCATGACTAACACAATAGATGTTTATTTCTTAGTTTTAAAATAGTCCAAGGAGGTGGTCCAAGACGAGTCAGGTGATTTGACTGGATCAGAATCCTCGGTTCTTTCTTGTTGCTCTGTTCTTCCTATGGTACTTTGTCTTCATGATTTAATCTACATTCTATCAGTTGAGAAGGATGAAAGAAAGTAATTGGGTAAAAACCTTTTTTCAGAGCTGGGGATGTAGCTCAGTGGCACAGTGCTTACCTCACAAGCACAAGGTCCTGAGTTTCATCCCTGGTGTGAGGGGGGCATTAACAAAACCTCTTTTTGTTTTGGGCTATGACCTTAAAGGCACACATACCAATTTCATTTATATCCCATTTGTTAGAATTTAATCTCGTATTCTCACGTAGTATGTCAGGGAAGTATAGTCTTTATTTGGTGTAGCACATGCCCAACTAAGAATTAGAAAAAAGGAGAGAATGGATATTGGAAAACAATCAGCCTTCTCTGTCATAGTATCTGTTACCTGAAACAACTTACTTTATCTTTCCGATAATTGTTTATATTTAGCTAAAATGTGAAGATGATAGTGTGTGAAAATCACATGCCTGAGGTTATTTGGTTAGTAAGTGGCATAGGGAATAATGGGTACCAAAGTATAGTTAGATAAGAGGAATAAGTTCTAGTTCTACAGCACAATATTGTGACTATAGTTCACAACATGTATATTTTATAAAGAACTAAAAGGAATTTATATGGTTCCATAACAAAGAAATGGTAAATGCTTAAGGAGATGAAAATGATAATTACCTTGACTTGATCATTATACATTACATTGCACGTATTGAATTACTATATTGTAACCCATGAATATATATAATTATGAAGTATCAATTAAATTTTTTAATGAGAGCTGGGATTTAAATCCAGTTAGTCTGGTTAAGAGTCACAGTATTAATCACTGTGTGCTGCAGCATCACCAGTCATTTTCGTGCGGTGACATTATTGAGTATGTACAAGGCACCTTGGGATTTTCAGGAAGGGATAATTGCAGAGAAGTGTGACTTGTATTAGATAGTATATTATTCAGGATTTACTTTTTCCTACACAAGTAAAACCATTAGGATATGTCTGTAGATATATGAGAGAGGATTTATTAGGGGAATTGTCTCACATGATTGTGGTAGCTGAGAAGTCCCATGAGAGGCTATTTGCAGGCTGGAGATCCTGGGATACTATTAGCATGGCTTAATCCAAGTCTGAAGGCCTCAGAATCATAATGCTAATGGTATAAGTTGCCTAAAGGAGAAAGCATAAGGATGGAGGAGGGGAATGGGCTCTCTGGTGTAAATCCCAGAGTCCAAAGGCCAGATATCCAAGAATCCTGATGTCCCCCTTCATTTCCTTTATTGTTGGAACTGGGTAGCCCCCAGCTGAATGGATGATGCCTGCCCACATGGAAGGCAGCCTTTCCCACCTAATCCATGCAGTCTTTTTTTTTTTCCCCTCGGTACTGGGGATCAAACTCGGTTCCTTGCACTTGTGAGGCAGGTGGTGGAACCACTGAGCTAAATCCCTGGCCCTATGCAGTCTTGCTACACTCTTCTGGAAACACTCTCTTAGATACAACCAAAAAATGGTTTTCCAGGCTTCTTAGGTATTTCAAAATTCACTTACATTGAGACCTAAAATTAACCACCATAGATATTGAAGGTGAAGAATAAAAAGAAGTCAGGAAAAGAATTTTAATGAGAACACCCAGTGTGAACAAAGGTCCTTGCCTAAAAAAAGTATTGTTGGAACATGAAATGGAAATAGAAACAGCAGGAAACTGTGACTGGAGATAGGCAGGGACCAGTTCCTAAAGGCACTTGACTGCTTGGCTGAGGAGTTTAGAATGTTTGGAATTTTTCCTGCAGGTGTTGGGAAAACATTGCTTGAAAATACAGTAGTATTACAGTCAAGACATATTCAGGAGATATTATCTTGGCTATAGTATAAAGGATAGAAAATGGGAAAAGAGAAAGTTGTACCATAGTCTGAGCAAGAATTAATTGTAGCCTGAAATAGGGCAGTGAGAAGAAAGATAGGGAGACAGAAGGAGCAGGACTTAGTGATTAGAAGTGGAAATTGTGTGTGTGTGAAAGAGAATTCTGAATCCTGGATCTCTAACTTGGCTGACTAAATGAATGAGGCTGTTCTTCATACATGTAAGAAACATAAAATGGAAAAGTATTGGCAAGATAGACAAAAGCTCTCATTGGGGCAAGTTAGATTTGAGATTTATGAAAATTATCCCAAAAGCAGTATCTCAAATGTAGTTCAAGGGGGGGATTTAGCTCAGTGGCACCGTAACTGCCTCACATGAAAGTAGTTCACTATGTGAGTCTAAAGCAAGGATGTGTGAGCATTATTGTAAAGTACATATTGTAAAAATAATTTACACTTTTCAGGCCAGAGATCTCTGTCAAGCTGGTCAAGTCTGTCTTTGTACTGGGAAAGCAACCACAGGCAATATGTAAACAAATGGGTGTAACATTACTGTAATAAAACTGTTTATAAAATAGGCAATAGGCCTGTGAGCTATAATTTACTGAACCCCAGTCTAAATCCCAGATGTCATTTACTGATAAATTGTTTCATTTAGCAAATATGTATATATTGAGTACCCATTATGTGCCAAGCAGTGGAGAGACAGTTTGCATGGAGTTTATTTTCTAGAAGTATAAAAACAGTATTCAGTCTAAGTAAGGTATCTAATATCTAAGTAAAATATCTAATTAGACAGGAATGAGAATTAAGGAGAAAAAGCAGACAAGGCAATAAGAGGGGTTGGAAATTGGTTTTTCCATTTGAAATATAGTGAGGAAATGAGAAATTCAAAGTAGGACACAGGAGATGTTGACCTTTGAGAACAGACCCACAGAAAGTAAAAGAGTAATTCATTCAGGTGCCTAGGGAAAAAGCATTCTAGGCCAAGGAAATGATAAGTGCAAAAGTGTGAAGTACACAACACTGTGTCTATTGTTTTCAGGGTATTAAATGGAGGCCAGTTGGGCTAAACTAAAGACCCAACAGAAGAAAATGGTTTCAAAGAGATAATGGAGAAGAAAAATAGAAAGCAGAATAGGTCTTATAATAGGGCTTTAGAATCTTCCAGAGGGATTTTGGCTCTGTTCTAAGATAGGAGGATTTTGAAAAAGGGAGTAA